AAGGGAAATTAAAATGGTATTATGAGAAGGAGCAAAATGAACAGTGAACATAAAATCCACCATGAGTCCACTCCCACATAACAAGCTACCTCTGTTTGGTACCTGGTCCCATCTCCCCGACTCCTAGCCCTGTGCCTCAGTTCCAAACACAGACAGTCCCTATGGACAAGAAGAGGGGACCATCTTACCCAAGTTATGTACATCCTATGAGCCCAGTGTAGTGGTTCAAGCTTACAGGACCAGCATTTGGGAAGTTTAGACAGATGGTTGCAAGTTCCAGGTCATAGAGACACATGTCTCAAAAAGACCAAGAGCAAGGCTGGAGAAATGGCTCAGTGATTAAGAGCACTGGCTGCTCTTCCAGAGGTACTGGGTTCAATTCCCAGCAACCACATGGCAGCTTGTGATAGTATATAATTGTAGACCAATGGAATCTTATGCCCTCTTCTAATGTGCAGATATACATGAAAACAAAATACCCATACACATTAGATAGATAGATAGATAGATAGATAGATAGATAGATAGATAGATAGATAGATAGATTTTAAAAAACTCAAGGCTTTAGCTGTAGCTCAGCAAAAGGGCACCTGCCTAGAAGAAGGTGAGGTCATGGATCAAGAATAAAGCACCTGCCTAGAATCTCCCAGTAAGCACTGGGGGCATGGCTCAGTAGTAGAGCTTCTGCCTAGAATTCCCCAGTGAGGGCTTTGGGACATGGCTCAGTGGTAAAGTATTTGATTAACATGCACAAAGCTCTGGGTTCCAGCTCCAACATAGAGGTATGCACATACACATACACACACAGGCACATACACATAAGTATACACACATATATGCACACATAATCACCGACTCACAGGCACACACACTCACTCACTCACTCACTCACTCACTCACTCACTCACTCACTCACTCACTCACTCACAGGCACACTCCACCTGTGATGGGAAGAAGAGTTTTCAGGTCTCAGAATTTGCCTCACCTCATATTTACTGTGGTAACAGCCCAGCTCCCTCTCAGCTCCCCATTGGCTTCTCCAACCCACCATGCCAGATTTCCTTGAGTCTTAGTGTCCTTAGACCTTAGACAGTCTAACCCTAAGATAAGAAGTACCTTGGACTTTGGAGTTTAGTTCTCTCCCTGACACTTTGAAGAGGATGGTCTGAGAAGTTTCTCAGAAATGAGGTCGAGATGGTTTTCCCACAATTAGCCCAATAGTTTCCTCCTTTGGGCTGAAACAAAATTAGTATGTCTGGCCATTTTTCTTATGAAAATATTTATGTCTTCTAAAAATATATATTTGGGATTGACTACACACACACACACACACACACACACACACACACACACACACACTCAAAATCCTGCTTAATGGGCCAATTGTCTATCCCTGGTCAAGGTGCATGCTTCTGTCCGAATCAATATTAAAAGCATGAAAATTCACTAATGTGGGTGTTTACAGAATATTTTCTCCCAGTACAGAGGATTTTGAACCTAGGATCCAGTGCTTGGTAGGTATGTACTCTACCACTGAGCTACATATGCATACATCCATACATCTAAAAAGCTCACATCCTGATACAGCTTGGACCTCCCGCTTCCCTAAGCTTTCATTCACCCGTCTCTTGCCCTCCATTACCCCCCACCCCCAGTTTGCTCATGTAGATCTCATCCATTTCTCCATCACTGGGCAATCCCTGTGTCTATCCTAGGGTCCTACTTACAAGTTAGTCTCCCTGGAGCTGTGGGTTGCAGTCTGGTTATCCTTTGCTTTACATCTAGTATCCATTTATGAGTGAGTACATACCATGTTTGTCTTTCTGAGTCTGGATTACCTCACTCAGAATGATATTTTCTAATTCTCTCCATTTGCCTGCAAACCTCATGATGTCATTTTTTTTCTCTGCTGAGTAGTACTCCATTGTGTATATGTACCACATTTTCTTTATCCATTCTTCAGTTGAGGGGCATCTAGGTTGTTTCCAGGTTCTGGCTTTTACAATTAGTGCTGCTTATGAACATAGTTGAGCATGTGTCCTTGTGGTATGATTGAGCATTTCTTGGGTATATGCCCAAAAGTAGTATAGCTGGGTCTTGAGGAAGATTGATACCCAATTTTCTGAGCTGGATCAGGAACACAGTGGGAGAACAAGCAAAGAGATATCATGATAAATGAAGACACCATGGGACTAAGGAGAAGCAGAGTGCTAGGGAGGTCCCCAGGAATCCACAAAGATGACTCCATCATAGACTACTGGCAATTGCCGAGAGGGTGTCTGAGCTGACCTACTCTGGTGATGGGATGGCTGAATACTCTAACTGACATCATAGAACCCTCATCCAGTGACTGATGGAAGCAGATGTAGAGATCCATGGCCAGGTCCCAGACAGAGCTCCAGAAGTGCAATCGACAAGAGAGAGGAGGGATGCTATAAGCAAGAGCTATTGAGACCATGATTGGAAAAAGTACAGAGACAACTAGCAAAACTAGTGGAAACATATGAACTGTGGACCAATAGCTGAGGAGCCCCCATGGCACTGGACTAGGCCCTCTGGATAAGCGAGACAGTTGTTTAGCTTGAACTGTTTAGGGGGGCCCCAGGCAATGGGAACGCAACCTGTCCCTAGTGCATGAGCCAGCTTTTTGGAGCCTAGTGCCTATGGTAAGACACTTTGGGGAGCCTTGGTGCAGGGAGGAGGGGCTTGGACCTGCATCAACTGAATGTACCAGGCTCTGCTGACTCCCCATGGGAGACCTTGCCTTGGAGGAGGTGGGAATGGGGATGGGTTGGGGGTGGGAGGAGGGAGGACAGGGGATCTGTGCTTTGGTGTGTAAAATGAATAGAAAATCTCTTAATAAAAAGAAAAAGCTCACCTACTGTCCTAGCTTGCTGTCTGTGCTGTGATAAAACACTGGCCAAAGCTACTTAGGGGAGGAAAGGCTTCACTTCAGGTCACACTTTCAGACTGAAGCCCATAACTGAGGGAAGTTAGGCAAGAACTTAAGGCAGAAACTTGGAGCAGAAATTATGAATGACGGGTGCTTACTGATCTCTCTCTGTCTCTGTCTCTGTCTCTCTCTGTCCTCCCTCCCTCTCTGGTTCAATCTGGTTCTGCGGTTGTCTTTATTTATTTATTTATTTATTTTTCTTGAGGCATGGTCTCACCATGTAGCTCTACCTGTTCTGTAACTCACTCTGTAGACCAGGCTGGCCTTGAACTCACAGAGATCCAAATGCCTGTGCCTCCCAAGTGCTGGGATTATAAGTATGTAACACCATGCCTGGCAAATGAAGATATTTGCTTATTTATCTGTTCACTTATTCATTGTGACAGGTTCTCATTATGTAGCCCTGGCTAGCATGGAATTCACTGTATAGACTGGCCTCAGACTCAGAGATTTGTCTACTTCTATCTTCCAAGTTCTCGGATTAAAGGCCAGTACCACCATGCCCAGCTCAGCTAGTATTTTGATACCATCTAGGCCTGTTTGCCTAGGGATGCCTTGTGGCCCTCCCATATCAACTATTAGTCAAAATAATCTCTCACAGACATGGCCATAGGCCAACCTGATTTTGGCAATTCATCAGTTGAGGTTACCACTTTGCAGTTCCAGATTGTATCAAGTTGACAATAACAGCTAAGCAATGTATATATAACCTATGTGTCTATCTACATAAGTAATGTATAGTACAGATAGTATGATAGAATTCATTCTTGATACAATTCCACTGAATTGCTCATGCTCGCCTTTGAACACTGGATCTCCCTGCTTTACCTCCCAAATTGGCTAGGATTATAATCTCGTGCCACCACACCCTGTGTATTTTCCTCCTGTGTTCCTGTGCCTGTATATACACAAGTTACACTACACACAAGAATGATGATGCTCTTTTCTTTTCTTCTTTTCTCTGTGCTGGATTGAGCCCAAGCCTGACAAAGTGCTTTGCCACTGAGTCACACCCCAACCCATATTTTAATTTGTGAATGTGATTTTTTTAAAAAAGGATGGATTTTAGAGTCACTAGCCACACATATGTAAACTTTTCTTCCCCAGGTTCTGCTCTGTAGAACCTGCTTGTGTAATCCATTAACAGGTTGTCAGGGAATGTGCCTTTTGGGGATGAAGGCCAGTACCCTGACCAAACTCTCCACCCTCCCTCTGTTTCCTTCTGTTGTTTTCCCAGGAACCCATCTGCCTCCCCCACTCTGCCTCTGGCCCATATGACTAATTCCCTCTAATTGTCATGGATCAAATAGCAGCAAAATAATTCCAGTTGCCCGTCTCCTGTTTTCCAATTGTCCCTCTGTTATACGTCTAAGTAAACATTTGTTCTGCTTATCGTTTCTCAGCAAAGACATGAATCACTCGCCCAGAAGAAACCACAGAGGCAGCTGTTGCCGATTAGGAGCTGACATTTGGGAACGGGCCTCCTAAGTAGGATTCCAGAGTGAAGCATGCCTTTGACTGGTCCTTCTCCTAGAAGAAGAAGCCTAGGACACTGCAGGACACTAGCAACAGGGTCTGCCCTACTGTCTCCTAGAGGAATGCTGGACTGCAAAATGTTCCAGCTTGGTGTGGTAGTACATGAGTGTCATCTCAGCACAGGGAGGCAGGGCCAGGAAGACTGCAGAATTAAGTCCATCCCAGGCTGCATAGGAGACCCAAGAAAGAATGGGGGAGTGGAGGAAAAAGGATGGGGAGCAGAAGAAGGAAGGGAGAGAGGGACAGAAAGAAAGGCGAGAAAAGGGAAGGAGAGGGAAGGACGACATACTTGACCTTTCCTCTAGCCTCTCTTCTGTGGGGCAGTTCGGGTAAAGAGTTGGAGTTCAATAATAGACATTTCCCCTCATCCCTCTGATTTGGGTTTTCATTTTCCTCCGTTTTCAGTTGGGTTACCTACTCATCTTCCAAAAGGATATGACAGGGAGTCACAGGGCTCAAAACTGGGGACATTGAACCCGAGCTCTATGGGATCTTTTAAGGAGTGCCATGCTCTGGCTCTGTACCTTGGGTGGTGTCTTGGTGTCCCTGTTTGCAGACATGCAGCAGAACAGATGCCCAGAGCTCCCTTCCTTCTTCTCTTTCATGCCTTTTGAAGTGTTGGCTGCTCACTTGATAAAAAACAGGCTTTGTATCTCTGCTCAGTCTTCTTGCTTTATTTAGCTGTGGTTGCTGCTGCTGTTCTTGGTCTAGGATATGCTTATCTGGGAAAGCTTTTTTTTTTTTTTCTGGCTTACTTAACCCAGACACCATTATTACAACATCAGACAGCTATTAGGAGGAATTAAGGCAAGAAAGAGAAAACAAAAGCTCCAGGAAGTAGGGGACCAGTGGCTGCCAGAGCTAAAGCAAGTCCTCAAGTTGGAGTAAGGACTAATGTGTAGTCACCCAGGCAACAGGAGCAGCTGGAACATCAGTGCCTCAAGACACAATGCCTCAGAGACAAGAAACTCAGACCCCAGACCTGTGGATTAGCTGCTGTGTTTGACCTTGATGAAAATCTTCCTGAGAGGCTGTAGGTGGATGTGAAGAAACTTAACCACATGTACTGGAAAACAACAACAACAACAACAAGCAAATAAAAATAAATTATTGTTGGCTTTAGGAAAAAAAACAAATGAGAATGGCATCAATTCAAATCATGCTGCTTAACTCAACAGTAAAATCTATGAAGAACAAATATTAATTTAACAGAAGCATCTTGGAAGAACTAGGGAGAGGAGACAGGCGTAAGAAGGCTGAAGTGGCCCCCTAGTGAAAACTGGGAGCTAGAACTGGAAGCCAAGTCATTATCATGTTGTTGATGCTTTGTACTGCTGAGGTGGAACTTTAGGCCTTGTGCATGCTGGGCAAACTGTTCTATCTCTGAGCCAGGCCCCCAGCCCCTCACTGGGGGATTCTAGGCAGGGTCTCTACCACTGAGCCACACCCCAGCCCCTCACTGGGGGATTCTAGGTAGGTGCTCTACCACTGAGCCACACCCCAGCCCCTCACTGGGAGATTCTAGGCAGGTCTTCTAGCGCAGAGCTGTATTCCCAGCTCCTTGGAAGCCATGTCTTTAGAAGACCTGTTCAATCATGCTACTTTGTGGGGACCCCAGAAATGCACCTTTCATATAAAGCAATTAGTGTATATGTACATTAGGAAAATGGAAGGGAGTGTCCAGCAACAGGAAAACTGTTTTGGCCTAGGCCTCATACCTGGGGTAATCAACTTACAAATGAGGAATGATTGACTTGGCTCATGATTTCAGAGGTTCTGTCCATGGCTACTTGGCCCCATTGCCTCTTGAAGCAGATCAATGCAAAAGGAACTAGTCAGTGTGGAACAGTATGTTTGTGGAGGGGCCATGACACCACAGAGACATCACTTTATGACAACCAGGAATCAAAGAAGCAGTGTGGAAAGGTCCAGGTTTGAAGCATACCTTTCAAGGATGTCACCTTCTGCCATGACCTGTCCCTGTGACAAAATATCTTGCAGGCAAACTATGGTTGGAAAGGTTTATTTTGACTCATGAAGTCAGTCCATCACAGTGTGGGGTGGGGTGTGGTGGAATGGTTCCATCCATAGCTATGGGAGTGTGAGGCAGCTGGGGACATTGTGGCAGACCAAAAAGCAGGCCAGCCAGGAGCAGAGGTGGCCATCAACTCCAAAGGCCCACCCCTTCTTTCGGCCAGGTCCCAACTATTAAAATCTCCACAGTCTTTAAAACAGCACCATAATCTCAGGACTCAGCACCCAGAATATGACTCTGTGGGGGACATTTCAGACAAACCACAATAGCCTATTTCCTTCAGCACAGCCACAGCTCCTAAAAGGACCCACGGAGTACCATCAGCTGGGGTGAAACCTTCTGCACAGGAGCCTTTGAGGGGTGACATTCCAAATTTAAATCATGACGAATTACAACAGTGTTTACTTTTCTCAACAAGTGATAAATCACACTGAACACTCTGAGTTCCTGTTACTTCCTCGAGGTCAAGGGCATCCAACAAGTTCTTCATTTTCTTCATTCAGAGGGCTCCATTGCCACAGTCGTAAACCATATGTGACCAGTCGGTTCTGCTCCACACCAGGGTCTACTGGGAGCAGACAGATTCAAGCTAAGCTTGCCAGTTGCCCAGATGGCCACTGTGACTTTAAGGCCATATCCAAAATTCAACTGATGTTTGGAAGTGTCAGTCAGCACTTCCTCAGCCCAGAAGCAAGACCAAGTGTCTGATGTCACAGGCCTTTGGGGAAAGCTGGACAAACTGGTTCTAACCAAGCATTGAAGACCTAGATAACTTAGTGCTAAAACAGGTTGGGGCCAAGCCCAGTGAAGGTCTAGAAGAGAAGCAGGCCAACACGTCCCCACACTCTGGCTTGGGCTCACTCTCCTGGGAACTTTTGAGGTCTGCTAAGAGGAAGACAGAGGGTTAAGAAGCTTCTCCCCCACTTCAGCCCATGACAGGCAGGGCTATGGGTACTGAGGGACACTTTTCTTCCTTTCATTCCCAAGGAACAGGCCCAGATGCTTTAGTCTGTACTTACCTTAAAGCCTACTCGTGATCCTCCCATTGGGATGGTCCACTGTCAATCATGCCTCCCCTTCCCCTGCAGGGAAGGCTTTAGAGAGGAGACTCACAGGCCCAGTTGCCTGCAGCCTGGACATTTCTACGGGCTGGGAAAGAATAACCTCTAAAACACAGCTGCTCATCTCAGTCACTGTCTTAGTTACTTTTCAATTGCTATGATAAAACACCATGATCAGGGCAACTTATGTAAAAATGCGTCTATTTGGGCTCATAGTTCCAGAGGGATAAGAGTCCACCATGGTGGGTAGACATGGCAGGGAGAGGCAGGCATAAGTGCAGGGAGTGGAAGTGTGAGGATTTTCACTCTCAACGTCCACTCCTAGTGATATACTTCCTCCCGCAAGGCCACACCTCCTAAATGTCCCAAACAACCCCAGTAAATGCCTGAGATTGTGGGGGACATCTCATTCAAACCACCACAGCCTCCTCCTCTTGTTCCAGAGCCAAGCATCTGAATCTTGTGTTCTTAATGTGACTATAAACTCCAAAGTGTGGATTCTCTTAGGGTGAGCTATACCAACAGATCCTGGTACATAAGTGATCAATACAGCTTATTTCTTATTCACGTATCAGTCTTCAGTGGGTGCAGTTGTCTATGTGGACATTCAAGATTCAGGTTCCCTATGTTCTGTGGCTCCACCTCACCCTGTTTTCACTTGAGCAGGCTAGTGGAAGAAGAAAGCACGGAGGAGGGGTTTCCACGGAGTTAGAACATACAACTTTGGCTCTCATCCATCGAACAACTTAGGTCAGTATTTAAAATGGATTAAGTGAGAATCAGAGATGGCATTTACCCGTGTCCCTGTTCTAGATTCATTTCTGTTGCTGTAATAAAAATAACCTAGCACAACACAGCTCAGGGGAGGAAGAAATTCATGTCAGCCTGTAATTCTCAATCACAGTTCATCACTGTGGGGAAGTCGAGGCAGGGACTTTGCACAGCTTGTCACATCACAACCACAATTATGAGCAGAGAGAAATGGGTGCACACATTCTTGATTGCTTGTCTGCTTGTGTTCAGATCTGTTTCTCCCCTCTTACAGTTCAGGATCCTCTGCCTAGGGGATGTGACACCCACACTGGCCTGGGCCTTCTTACATCATTTAACTTAATTAAGACAAGCTATCATCCAGACATGCCCACAGGCCAACCCAATGTAGACAATCCCTGAGACTCTACCTGGGTTATTTTAGGTTGTGTCAAATTGACAATTAAAGCTAACCATCATAGTCCCCAAGAACTATTCCTTGAGTTACCGTTCCTCCCCTGAACTCAAAGCACAAAAGGACCTTCAAAGAATGCTCCATGAGAAGCTGGCACAGCCTGAGGCATTGAATAACCTTATGCGTATCTAACATAGAGGAGACACGAGGCTCAGGACTAAGCTCTACCTGGAATCCATTAGACCTGTACCCATGTAGCCTCTCAGATGAGGCCAGGCCTGCAGCCACTGTGGTTACCTCAGCAAACAGATCGAAGGCTGGTCTTTGCAGCCACACTAACCTCATCCTGGCCTCTGGCCACAGAGGTCACACCTGTGCTGAAATCCATCCCATAGCGCCAGGCAGGTGGGCATCAATCCCCCAATTGAGATGTAACTACATTAGGAAACTCTGTAACTTTTGCTCATCTATCTTGGGGCAGTCTCACAGTCCTGGGCTGAGAGATGAAGAAGCGGGCTGTGTCCTTGAGAGAAATAGAGAAAGAACAGAGGTAAATAGACTGCAATGTACTTTTATAGTCAGTGGAGGGAAAAATAGTACTCAAGAATGCGTTTATCCCCTCCCTCCCCCCTCCCTCCCTCCCTAAGACCCTCCTCTCTGCAATCTCTGCCCTCTGCTGGTGCTTCTTCACTTCCTCAAATAGCCTTTTGCTTGTATCCTGGGTCTATGCTAGCCAGCTGGCTAGGTACCTCCATGCTCTGGAAAGAACCATGTAGTGGAGCCCAGAGATCATTTTCAGACCCTCACATTCAAAATACAGATCTTAGAACCACACGCCGCCATTGCTCTACACACTGTGCCCTCCCCCCTACACGGCCATATCTGTGTGGCCTGGATAACATGCAGTATCCTCATTTGTCCCTTGATCTTATCTGTGTCTCCTGAGGTAATTCTTGGTGATGTGTATGTGGTAGCCCAAGTCTGTGATCCCAGAACTGTGGAAGCAGAGGCAAGAAGACCATGACTCCAAATATCTGTCCAACACAAAAACAAAAACAAACAAAAACACCACAACAAAACCTGAAAAAATAAAAACGAAACAAACAAACAAACAAGGGTCAATGTTAGAGCACTTGCTAGAATTTAATCTACCAATGAGGGGATAGGGTGTAACTTGGTGATAAGTTCTTGCCTAGAATTTACCATGAGGGTCTGGGGGTATTGCTTCAGTGGTGATGTGCTCAAGGTTCTGGGTTCCATTCTTAGCACTGGAAGGAAGGAAGGGAGGGAGGGAGGGAGGGAGGGAGGGAGGTTAGCTAATCCAATCCGCAATCCTGTCTCCCCCATCTGAGGGTCTCCACTGGCTTTCATGGGCTCATTTTTTGACTCTGTTATCTATCCTGTTTTCTTCACAGCAGTTAATCCTAACCATAATCACATTTTGGTTTTAGCCATTTAAGCTGAAGTCCCTAAATGAGGGTGTGGTGTCCTTATTCACTCCCTTGTCCCTAATACTGAATGCATGCATTTTTTTCTAACATGCAGTTTTTCAACTTTAGATGGGGACAATGACTTCTGTGTGTTCCACACCTCGATGCCTTATAGGATTAAAGAATACAGTACAGCATGAAGCCCAGCATGGTACGCCCCTGTGATCCAGCACTGGAGAGGCTGAGGCAGAATGATCTCAATTTAGGGGCTAGCCTGGGCAATGGAAAAAGAGAGGGAGAGGGTGGAAAGGGAGGAGGGAAGGACAGGGGAATTGATGGGCTGGGGAGGGGAGAGGGGAGGAGGAAAGACAGAAAAGAGGTGCTGTGGTGACGCCTCAGTGGATAAAGCACTTGCCACATCAGCATGAGCTGCAAATTCAAACCTCTAGCATCACATAAAGCAAGCAGACATGGATGTTGCCTGTAACCCAATGCTCAGCCAGCAGAGAGAAAACGGGATCCTGAGGCAAGCTGTTGACCTACCCAAGCCAGAATCAGCTAGTCCATGTGGAGCAAGAGACCCTGATTCAATAATCAAAGTGGAGAACAGTTGAGGAAGGATTCAGGCCTCCACAACACATACACACATGTCCATGCACATACTTGTATGCCTACATCCATGTGAACCCATGCATGCATGCCATTCACACTATAAATAGGGAAGAAGGAGGAGAAGGAAGGTGGGAAGAGACAAAGAAAAGCATACATACAACACAAGGCAGACTTGTTCTTAGCACTCTGCCGAGATGTTAAATTTGCAAGATGCTTTAGTGTCTCCCCGGTTCATGTTTTAGAACCATTTGGGGCATGGTCACTGGAAACAATAGCTTCGGAATCACCCACTCAGCCCTAGATGGAAGACCCGGGAGTCTATTGAAAATAAATTAGTAATGCCTCATTCTCAATGAGAAAAGTCTCGGGGAGATTTATAATTTTATTTTTTCTAAGTGCACAGAATAACATAAATCAAAAGGAGCAATACTCCACCTTGCGTTTTGACTACTTTGACCCTCTTCAACCTCTGCCAATTTTTATCTCATTTTTGTTTAACTTTATACATCAGAGTTTAATTTGAGAGCTGGTCCAGAAGACAGTGATGTATAGGTTATATCAAGTGTGGCCGAAATTACCCTGTCCCCAGGGACTTCAGAATGAAGGGAGGGTCCCGGTTGTGGAGCAGAACTAGAAGAGGAATGGTACAGCTTACCCCTTGAACCCAGCCTCCCGCCATCCCCGCTGCCTCTCATTTATTGATTTGGCCCCATTTGAAGAGCTCACAAGATTGCGTCCGTCCAGAGCTCATGCCTTCTGCCCAGCCGCAGGGCTCTCAGCATCAGCTGCTGTGGACAATGTCATTTTCCAAACCTGAAAAAGAGTTCTATTAGCATTGATTTTTCCTCTTTAAATTGTTATCTTCTCGGGAAAGTGTGCCCAGTTGGCAGCGTCGTCTGTCTGGCCCAAGAGATTGCTGGATTTGCTTGTCTGAAATGTCCAGAGAGATATCTGCCATCCACCTCATTGGGTTCATGGGCAGAACAAACGCAGGAACCAGGTGTGGTGGTACAGGCTTGGGATTCCAGTACTTGGGAAGCTGGAGCAGGAAGATTGCCACGAGTCGGAGGCCGACATGTGTGTGATTATAGGTATGCACTACCATGGCCCAGAAGATTTAGCATTCTTTTTTTTTTTTTTAACTTTACCTTTTTTTTAGGGCTCAGCATTTTTAAATATGCTTTTCCTCCTAGCACTCATCATAGTTTGAACTCACACACTGTGTGATTTGATTTGTGTCTGTCTCCCCAACAGGATCCTAAGAACACAGATTAGTTCTGCAATGAAATATCAGCAGAACATTTTGTGTGTTTATTTGCATATAAGGATAGAGCTGAACATATAGGAAGTGCTCAAGAAATATGTGTGAATAATGTGGGGGGGGGTGTTCAGGCAGGTGTATGCTACTGCTTGGGTGTGGAGGTCAGAGGGCAACTATTGTGGGTCTGTTCCCTCTTCCTCTTGTGGGTTCTGGAAATTGACTCAGATTGTCGGGTTTGGTGGCAAATTTCTTTACCCATTGAGCCATCTTGTCAAGCCCTACTGGTGAGATGGCCGGCTTTCCTAGGCCTGGTTAGATGGCTCAGGCACTAAGAGTGCTGATGATCTGCAGCAAACAGGGGTGGGGGTGGGGATATTTCTATGGCCCTGCAGTGTTCTCCATAGGACCTACAAGTCACATGTGTGACTACTGAGGCCTAGAATGTGGAAGCTCTGAACTGACATGAATCCTATAGAATACACTGCAGTTTTCAAATGCCTTCTTGAGAGAAATGCAAAATGTCTTCCTAATAATTCTAACATTGGAAAAATCCTTATATAAATACCCACCATTGAATAAGGATAATTACTGTTGAACTTATGTCCTTTTGTGGCTGGAGCTGTGTTAAACATTTTACCATCTAGTAACTGTATCAGAGATGTCATCCTGAAGAAACCATCTAAAATATGTTTTAAAAATATCTTTATATGCAGTTATTCTTTATAACATTCTACACGATAATGGAAAACCTAAACAAACAGAAAATAACCTAAATATTTAAACAATAGGATAACAATAACAAGAGAGATACCCGGGGATGCAGCGCCCTCTTCTGGCTGCCATGGGCACTGCACTCACATGCACAAACTGGTACACAGATGCACATGCACACACAAAACTAAAATTGAAATTTAAATCTTCTTTAGACAACTGTGAAAATAATGCAGTGAAATGCCATATAACCATCAAAAGTGTATGAAATATTAGAACATGACAAAATACAATAAGAAACCCAAAGAAAAATTCCATCCTCGATGTTTTCTACTCAATGTGGCCATCACCATAGAGGAAAAGCACAGAAGGAATGAAGTGGTAGCAGTCAGGCCAAGGTGCCAATCTTTGTTCTGGGGGCTAGGAGGATTATTTATTTTCCTTTTTATTTAATTTTATTTAAGAAGTGTTTGAGAAGAGCATTACAGTTACATCAAATAAAAATGCCTGGCCTCAGATCTTCCTAAGTTCTGTAAATGCTGCAAGCAGTGAGTTTTATCATTCATGTGGTCCCTTTGAGGGACACACAAATCAAACTCCAAGCTTTCATGACCATCCTTTATACCTCGGGCTTGGCAGGCAATGTAGACTTTCAGCCAAGGGACTACTTCTCCAGTCTACCTAGATTCCTTCAGACTCAAAGGTCTCAGGACATAGGTCTGGATCCCCTCTCCCTCCCTCCCTCCCTCCCTCCCTCCCTCCCTCCCCATTTTCTCTCTACTGCTAGCAGAGCTGATGCATCAGCGCCTCCAGTCTTTTCCACTGTGTTATTCTTTTGCTGGTTTTCTGCCTTAGACCCCCAGAGTGAACCCTGGAGGCTGACCTAGGCAGCAGTTTCAGTGGACGGCCTCACTGCTTGCTGGGGGTATTTGTGATGTGGAGCCCAGGCAGCAGAGGGAGAAAGAAAATGAGAGCAGTGGTGAATCCTACCCCTTCTGGTAGGTCTTTTTGGGCTGTGACTCTCTGGAAAAACAGCTCTTCAAAAGGAGAGTCCTGCTCATTGTTCTGCTTCCCAAGACTCAGAACCCTTGGCCCCAGAAGGCCTTGGAGTAGCTTCACATCTCCTTATTTTCTCCTGCTTTCCTTTGCAATCAGTTTCCTTAAGAAATCCTGTTTGGTCATTTGAATTTGAATCTGTTTTCTCCTTTCCTGCTAGAATCCTGCCTGACTGAAAACTTAATTAAAAAATACAATGCCAGGTGTGGTGGCACATGCCTGTAATCCCAGCACTCAGGGAGCTAAGGCAGGAGGATTGGAAGTTCAAGGCCAGCATGAGCTACATAGTGAAATTCTCCCTCCCTCTCTCTCTCTCTCTCTCTCTCTCTCTCTCTCTCTCT